TTCTAAACCCTGAGTAAACCATGCATTTGAGCATGGCGAATGACCCCCAGCCCATCACATGCATATATTCAAGAGAGAGATGAGTCAGGAATAGTTGAAGTTCAATGTCAGGAATTCTTGACCTAAATAAGACTTGACTCCGTTTTTCAGGAATCAGACCCCCATGTAGTCATTGTTCTGTAGCTTAAGCTGTTTCCAGCCCTAAAAGGTGCTGAGCGGGACTGAACACTTTTGCCTGTGCCAAGGGACAGTCTGCCACCAGCTGATTCAGATAACCCAGAAACAGCAGCCTTCACCCCTTTTATATAGGCTTGCCTTTGAATGCAAAAAGTATCATTCTACCAGAGTAGCAGATGTTTTAAACATTTTAAACAACCCCAACCTCAGCATGTTCAAACTGTAGTTAACAGCACAAAGGAACATTTCTCATTTGGTTTGGTATAGGCAATGTCCTTTTTTGCCAGCTTCACTGGAAATCCAAAAATAGATAATTTCTGAAATTAAGTGTTTTTATTTCTAAATTAAGAGCAGTATGATGGCCAGTGACAGATGGTACCAGGAGCTAAATTTGACAACACTGAACAGGTGTTCACCTCTGGTCAAACCATTGCAGGCAGACAGTGGAAGAGGGAGCTAAATCACATATTTGGCTCTATCCCGTCAGGACTGTGGGAAAGTAATCAACTCTAGCCAAAAATAGTATGTGGTTACACCCTATTGCTTCATTATAGGCCATCAGCTATTGAAAATTTCATGTTATATATTGGTTATAAAAGGGATCACAAGGTGTTACCAAATATACTCAGAAGAGACACAACTGGCAACTCTAGCATATTAGTTTTGACTTAGATCTAAAACACTAGGTTTCATAAACATTAAACAATCAAATAGTTATTGTGCTTACCTTTACAGAAGCTATTCTTGAGAATACTTTGACTATCCCACTAAAGCAGGGTTAGCACATTAAAAAACAAAAACAAAAAGACACAAAAAAAATGTGGATCCCCACACCCCTTTTTCTACTGTGGCAGACATAACTCATAGAACCACTTTGTAATAACCCTGAACCTGGCCTCACAATCCCTCCCTAGACAGCTATTCTTTGCCAGTTAATTGGAGTTAGCACTTAAGATGGAAATCTTGGCCATCCCACTGGTAAACTGAACTTCCTTAGGTGTTCACAGACCTTTTCTTACTTCTTTCCATATCCCAATGCCAGTGTTTTACCTGCAAAAAAGTGACACACAATACATCGTGGTACTTGGATATATGGCCCAGAAACTTTAAAAACAGTTTTTCACAAGCAAGTAGCTCTCAAGCACAATGTTAATTGCCAAAATCATACAGAGATAGGTTTAACTTGACTTGTAATTAAAATATATGTTTTTGACTAGTGACTTTTGGATACATCAGTAAATGTTTCTTAAAAGGAAATAATATTAAATGTTGGTAAATGTCAGTAAGACTATAAATTACTTGTTAGCTTCTCTAAAGGGAAAATAGCTTATCAAAAATCATAAAAAATGAATGATTTGACCTGGAAATATATTTCACATATTTCATGAAAAGAGATATTTTTGCAGAGATTTTGCTTCAAGGATATTTATTGCATATAATATTGAAATATTAAAAATTAAAAAGTTTAAAATTATTTTAATTAACAAATTTTAAATTAACAACTGTTATATGACCAACAATCAGGGATTAGTTAAATAACATTTATGGCCTCTCTATATAATAGTATTTATATTATATATGTATATATTTAACAGTATATGGCTATTTAAATTATATAAAATTGTCAACATAGACAAATGTTTATTACGTAGTGATAAGCAAATGAAAAGAGGTTGCAAAGTAGCATTTATGATGTGGTTTATTTTGTAAGTGTATGTATGTGTGTGCAAAAGCCCTAGTAAAAAAAAGTCTCAACACCCCAACAAGTTAACATTAACTATTTATTTACAGATAGAATGAACATTAACTATTTCTTGACAGATATAATAATGGGACTTTTTTCCTTTGCCTACACCTTTTTCTCTGTAATGATCATGAATTGCTTTAGTGATAAAAAGTAATTTTTTAGTATTTAGACACTTGCTTTCTAGAGAAGTTTATTTTTTATGAAAAAACTTTTCTTAGTTTTTATTTGTTTAAAAAGTAATACAGAATACTGAAAAAGATTTAAAAAGCAACAAGGATACTCCCACCTACAGAATGCCACTCTTAACATTTTGGAATATTTACATTCATTTATTTACAAACAGATAATTTTGTTGTTTATTGAGGCATATTTTGCATACAGTACAATTCATCATTTAAGGTGATGTGTATATGATATATGATGAATGTAACAACCACTACAATCAAGATACAGAACATTTCTATCACCCTCAGAAATCCCCTCCTTACATTTATAATTAAACCACTCTCCCCAACTGCTCTCTAGCAATCACTGATCTGATTTCTGTTCCTAGTTTTTTTTTTTTTTTTTAACTATTCAAGAATGTTATGTACATGGAATTATGGAGGAAGTAGCTTTTTTAGTCTGGCTTCTTTCATTTAGTGTCATGTTTTTGAGATTCATCCAAGTTTCCCTTTTTATTGCTGAGTTATATTCTATTTTTTATATATTCTTCTATAGGAAGCAAACATCCAAAATTCATTGATTATTCTTTTTAAGAATAGCTGTGTCTCCATGTAAATATTAGAAACTCCCTCCCTCACGTGATTTCAGTGATGAGAATTTGAAGAGTAAGTCTTAAATCTGGCTCTCTCATTCACACGTTCTTTGCTCTGTTTTCCTTTTCTCTTTCTTTTTAAATTCTTCTCTCCCTTCTACTGAAACACTGAAGGGAAAATAATGACAAAAGCCTGATAAGGGTGGTTGTTATACAACATAAATGAGTCAATTATGCTTTACTTAGTTTCTCAGTGTTAGTTTATTTAATCATAAAGTAATACATGCTATTCAGTACACCAAAAATTGGAAAAGCATTTTTAAAGGACAAGGAAAAATGCCTTTATTGTGGCACACCTAAATTTTATATCTGTTTCTGTTCTTTGCACTTTTTTTTAAAATCATACTATATATACAATAATGTTTTATTTTTTCTAATGGAAGGGCATCCCAAATATTTTTTGGGGATCTCCTTTCTTTAAGAATAGCTGTGCCGGATGCGATGTCTCATGCTTGTAATCACAGCACTTTGGGAGGCTGAGGCAGGTGGATTATTTGAGGTCAGGAATTTGAGACCAGCCTGGCCAACATGGTGAAACCCCATCTCTACTAAAAATACAAAAAGTTAGCCAGGTGTGGTAGCAGGCATTCTAACCCCAGCTATTTTGGAGGCCGAGGCAGGAAAATGGCTTCAGCCTGGAAGGTGGAAGTTATGGTGAGCCTAGATCACACCACTGCACTCCAGCCGGGGCAACACAGTGAGACTCTGTCTCAGAAACAAACAAACAAACAAATAAATAAATATAAAAAAGGAATAGCTGTTGTGCCTAGCCTGCATCTGTCTCATTCACTCTCTCATTTAGCAATGCTCTTGAAAGTCTACTTAGTACAAGATGTACAATGCTAGAGAAGAAAAACACAGTCCCTGTCCTCGGGGGGTGGTGCTGCCTTGCCTACTCCACTGCAAACGTCAATAAGCAACATAAGCAGTAATTGGGAGTGAAGTATGGGTGTTACATAAAGTCACACCAGGAACAGTGATTGCCTGTATTGAATATGACCTTCAGTCATATTTTCCTTTATTATCTCTATGTTTCCTAATTACTTTTCCTCGTTCATGAAAGACTAATAGAATTAGCAAATCATAATTGTTTTTTATATTAGGCAAATCATATTAAGATGACTAAAATGAATAAGTGCTTTATCAAAAAAATCAATTTAAAATGTTAAAGTAGGGCCGGGCGCGGTGGCTCAAGCCTGTAATCCCAGCACTTTGGGAGGCCGAGGCGGGTGGATCACGAGGTCAAGAGATCGAGACCATCCTGGTCAGCATGGTGAAACCCCGTCTCTACTAAAAATACAAAAAATTAGCTGGGCATGGTGGCGCGTGCCTGTAATCCCAGCTACTCAGGAGGCTGAGGCAGGAGAATTGCCTGAACCCAGGAGGCGGAGGTTGCGGTGAGCCGAGATCGGGCCATTGCACTCCAGCCTGGGTAACAAGAGCGAAACTCCGTCTCAAAAAAAAAAAAAAAAAAAATGTTAAAGTAAAAATAAACTTGGTATATTGTCAAGTTTGTCTGTTCCATCATACTTATCTATTGTGCGCTTGCCAAAGAATAGAGACGAATCTTTACATTAAATACGTCTCAAATGACAGGGTCTATTTTCAAAACATTTAATAACTGGGACAGAACAAGTTCTGATCCCTCAGAAGGAGACTCCGGTTAGGTATGTGTAAATCCCTCAGTTGCTGTGTCTGGAACGTCCGGCTGGTACAACCAGGCAGAGATCAAGATGACTAGTAAGTATACCAGGGGCTCTCAGGAGATTCAGGACGGTGACTATTTACAAACAGTGCCAAAGTATTTCAACATGTTAACGCCCAGCATGACAGGCTCATCCCTGGAGGAAATGTGTCACAATATGGCAGGTGATTTCTGCTTTAGGGAAAGGCATAGTGGTGACAACGACTCTCCTTTTAAAAGAAGAGCCTTATGTGTGGTAGATCCTCTCTTCATCCAAAAAAGTAAAAAGTTAAAATACACTTAGTTGAAAATCAGAGTCAGGAATTCAATGAACAAACAATTGAAATAAAATATTATAGGAATGCTGGTAGAAACGGAGGAAATCAAGGGCACCACAAGTGGGGGGAAAAGGCCAGTAGAAAAATCCTTTGACTGGGCTTGATGGAAATCTGAAATGTCTGCTTATGTTAAAAGAAAAAAAAAAAAATGTCATCATAGCCACATTGGCGAAATAGCACTATATGTAATTTTAATAGACGTGATAATATTTTTAATAGCTTGCTTTCCTCTTTTAGCTTTCCTTATTGGAAAAAGCTGGATTTGGAGGTGTTCTTCTATATATTGATCCTTGTGATTTACCAAAGACTGTGAATCCTAGTCATGATACCTTCATGGTGTCACTGAATCCGGGAGGAGACCCTTCCACGCCTGGTTACCCAAGTGTTGGTAAGTTTGTTGTTCATTATTATTATATTTGTAAGTAAGCATTACAAGGTTGCAATTTAGAAGTAAATGCTACCTATCAGGAATAGCGAAGTCAAATAATTCTTATCATCCCGTGTTTAAAAAAGTAATTTATTTTTTATCGTCTCAAAATTATAGACTACCAATTTGTTGGCATAAATTGGATTTATACTATAATGAATTTTTATCTCAACAAATTGAAGTATGATGAACAGACAGAAAATGTATTTTATGTGTTATTGTGGGTTGACTGATGAGACAAATTAGCACCAGGAGTGACAGGCACTCTAGGTAGGCCAATCACACTTACAAATACCCAGGAGCATCAAATGCCTGCTGCTTCGGGGCAGCTGTAATAACTTTAAGTCTACGGTCTAGAGGTCTAGAGGTCCACATGATCAAGTTAAGGTGAGTAAAGCAGTAAGAAAAGATGCTAGGGAAGAATGGATTTAATATGATTTTCTGGCTGACTTAGGAGAAAGGACCGCATTGTTTGGCCAATCACTGGCAGTATAGCGATGGCTACTTTGTAGCAAATATCTTTCTCTTTCCTAGATAGCTGTATTCATGACAGTAGGGACCCCATGGTGGACAGAAAACAACTGTTATTTTGGCAGATGCTCACTGCATCATTGAATTTCTGTCCAGTGTGTCATTGACAGGTACTCTGTTCATTCAACCTGGCGGAGGAAAAAGCTCTCTACATCTTCTTCCAAGGTGTACGGACCCATTAACCATGACACTTCAGTCAGTAATTAAACTGACCACCCCCAAGTTATGTAACTATTTACGTGTTCTGCCAATAGTTTTATTTTTCCCCCAAACCATCACAAAAGAATTTACTGATTATCTTACTCAAATCCAGCTGTCTATTCTCTCCATGTTAACTTTACCAATTAATTAGCAAGTTTCCCCAAGAAGGAAGCAAATGGAATCCCATATGAATTATAACTTATGAAATTTGTAGAGTCTACTGATTATTGCTTTTTCTTCTACACACTACAAAAGTATTCCTTTAATAATTCATGTAGGCCGGGCGCGGTGGCTCAAGCCTGTAATCCCAGCACTTTGGGAGGCTGAGGCGGGTGGATCACGAGGTCAAGAGATCGAGACCATCCTGGTCAACATGGTGAAACCCCGTCTCTACTAAAAATACAAAAAATTAGCTGGGCATGGTGGCGCGTGCCTGTAATCCCAGCTACTCGGGAGGCTGAGGCAGGAGAATTGCCTGAACCCAGGAGGCGGAGGTTGCGGTGAGCTGAGATCACGCCATTGCACTCCAGCCTGGGTAACAAGAGCGAAACTCTGTCTCAAAAAATAAATAAATAAAATAAATAAATAAATAAATAATAATAATAATTCATGTAAATTTTATCTGGGATCTCACTGGTTTGTACTTTGTACAGTCCTGTGTCTTAGCATTACAATTTTAAGTTAGAATTAGTAGGCGTACACCTGCAATTTCTAGACATCCCCCAAAGCACCAATCCAGGTCTCTCATTCGCAAACACGCTCACTGCCCCAGGTTGTCATTGCTCAGCTTCAGGAAGCTGCGTTTGGCAGCTAACTCACTGTCGCAAGTCAGTGGGCTGCAATGCTACCAAAAGCAGACCCAGTCTGAGCACTGAAACTTACGTTGGTAAGTTGTTCAACCGGCCCCACGACTCTTAAAGTTTTTTTGCCCCAGGTCATTTCATAAATGCTGAGTTTAGTAATAGCTAGCAAGCGTTGGCCAGAGTTGTAAGCAGTTTCAACATGCTTTTTTCTACTTTTTATTCTGAAATAATTTAAACTTAGAAAATAGTAGCAAGTTTAGAATATACAGAATCTCTGAAATCTCTCTTTACCCTGCCACTGCCTTGAAGAATAGTGTCCGGCTTCATTTTATCCACAGTGATGTTCTTATCAAATAGCTGCACCCCTGCTTTCCACTCCTAAACATACTTTTTCATTTTTTACATGACCAGGTTGCAATTTTCCAAATTTTTCTGTTCTGCTTCTCTTTTAATTAAAAATTCCATTTAAAGACTTTTCACTTCTTTCATTTGGCCGTAAACCATCGAAAGAAGCCACACAGCACCTTGAACACTTTGCTGCTTAGATATGTTTTTCCACCAGATAACTTAGTTTGTGGTTTTAAAATTCTACCTTATATAAAGCCCTGGGGCATGGACACCATTCAGTCAAATTCGTTGCCACTTTTTAACAGCGATGCCCCTTACTTCAGTTTCCACTACATTGCTCCTCATTTCTGCTTGAGACCTTATCAGAATTGGCTTTACTGTCTATATTTCTGTTCACATTCTGGTCATGACCACTGAAGTAATCTCTAGGAAGATACAGAGTTCCCCACAGCTCTTCTCTGTTTTTTTAAAGACCTCATTAGAATTGCTATTAATAATCCTAGATTTGCTTACAACAATTTAGGCTTCGTAGCCTATTCCTTTAAGTTCTTGGATCCTCTACCCATTATCCACTTCCAAAGCTGCTTCCACATTTCCAGGAATTTGTAATAGCAAACAGCACACGTCTGGTTTCAGTTTTCTTAGTCGATTTTGTGTTGCTGTAATGGAGTCCCTGAAACTGAGTAATTTATAAAGAGCAGAGATTTGTTTCTCACAGTTGAGGAGGCTGGTCAGTCCAAGGTCACGGAGCTCACATCCGGCAAGGGTCTTAATTATTTCATCCAGTAGTGGAAGGCAACATGGTGAGAGACCATCCATGAGAGCAAGACAAGGCCAAACTCACTTTTATAACAAGCCCCTCAAAATAACGAGCCTACTCTCATAATAACAACATTAATCCATGCGTGAGAATACTTCATGATGGAATGCCTCTTAAAGGTCGCACCTTTCAACATGATTAATTGGGGATCAAGTTTCCAACACATGAGCTGTGGGGTACGCATCCAAATCATAGGAAATGATTATTGGACAGACTAATCTAAAACTACCTTTTTTTTTTTCAATTTAAGAACTTTGTGTTATTCACCAATTTAAAGGTGATAATTGTAAAGACGTAATTTAGAACAACCAATGACACGAGGTAGTTTTTAACTTTGCTTGTTTGGTTTTTAATATAACAAAGTAAACAGAGTCATATAATGAGCATTCCATATACCTCATCCAGCTTTAGCAACTGTCTACATTTCTACCATTTTTGTTTTTAATCTGCACATTCCCTCACACCCCACAGCACCAGTGTTTTTTCCAGATAAAATTTACATAAATTAAAATTCAGCACGCATACATGTAGGAGAAATTCAGGGTAACTCAGGGTTGTTAGATCTTATATGACATCTTAAGAAAGAACAATAAATGTGTAGAAAAGTAACAAGACAAAAGGAAAGAGATTTAGCCTTTCAGGGGTATCAAACTGTGAGAAGATAAATATATGCAGGGAAGTTAATGGAAGATAAAAGTTTTGTTTGAGTAAGGTTTGTTATGTAGTTTATTTTCCTCTGTGCCTCTGGGCTAATAAGAGTCTCCATTAAAAGTCTAACCCTGATTTTTTGTAAATTGTGAGGGAGGCAGAGAGTGTTTTGTAGGGTACGGGGAGCATCTTATGTTTCTTAGTTATCTTTAGCTCAAAGTAATCTTTATGCTAAAGTGGCATATTTGGGTGCAGTGGCTTATGTCTGTGATCTCAGCACCTGGGGAGGCTGAGGTGGGTGGATCATAAGGTCAGGAGTTAGAGACCAGCCTGACCCAACAATGGTGAAACCCCGTCTCTACTAAAAATACAAAAATTAGCCGGGTGTGGTGGTGCGTACCTGTAATCCCAGCTACTCCTGAGGCTGAGGCAGGAGAATCACTTGAACCCAGGAGGCAGAGGTTGCTGTGAGCTGAGATCATGCCATCGCACTCTAGCCTGGGCCACAGAGGAAGACTTCGTCTCAAAAAAAAAAAAAAGTGACATATTTGGGGATGGCATATTCTGACTCCCTGTGACTTGTTTCATCAACTTGCTATAAGCATTTCAACTATACTAAACTGTGATCCAGACAAATTGATTTTCTAGAACCATATATTTCTGGAATTCAGGGTTTATATAGCAAAAAATGAATTCTCAATCTTGAAGCACAAGAATCCTGCATTTTAGCCAAAGACTCAGGTAAATGGGGCATACAAACTGATATTTATGTAACTAGTCATAATTATAATACCATGATAGGCTGCAGTTGGAATTGCATTTGACCTCAAGTAATAAATCAGCTGCATAGGGTAAGGCCCAAAACAAACAGACAATCAGAATGATATGAGACAAGCATAAACAATAAGAAAGGAAGAAATATGTATCTTTAAGGAGTATTCTATTTGGCCTGTGTTGAAACATGGAAAAGAAAACCCTTTTCAAATTTCTAAGCAGTAAGATTGTCTGAAATCTATTAGGAATAAAAAATCCTCTTCTTTCATATACTTTCTTTAATAATTTATCTTCTGAATTCTGTGTTGGCTACAGTGTTGATTTTAATTTTTGTACCACCTCCAGGTAACTGGTAATCTATTTACCACATTATCAGTTAATTGTCTTTGAATTTACTTATATACCCATTTCAGAAATCCATCCTGTTTTAAAACTTTGCATCTATGTCCCTCTCTCTGTCTTTCTGCTACAATCTGGTTTTTTTTTTTTTTTTCTTTTTATTTGTTTTAAATTCTGGAGAGAAAAGTCTTTTCAGTCGTTTTATTCTAGTGAAGTGTATCAAATGACACAGTTTATTTAATATTCCCAGTGTTACAATTCTGTGGATCTCTGTGTTGTTTATCTACTGTCCGTTCAACATCACCCCAGCCAAACAAAACTATTCAAAGAATAAAGAATATCGCTATAATTTGTGACAAGTCATCACCAGATATTCCTGGTCCAGTTACCTGGACAAATATTGAAAGACTGACTTGAGTTGGCACTAAATCAACGGAGACAGTGTTGAACCATTCCCTGACTAGAAGAGCAGAAAATATAAATAGGTACCTAGTTGT